TCGAAATAAATATTTTAACTTTGGAACTCTGAAACTAGTTAAGTTTTTCTCAGTCATATTATTTTTTTTCTATTTATATTTTTACCATTACTTCAGAATTTTAATATGTTCTTAATGATCCTATTTTCTGCTTGTAATATTAATTTTTTTTTTAATAATATTGTCACCACCATGATAAAGTAATGAATCTGAGCCTGTTTAATGTCGCACATTTGTTACTTTAGCGTGGAGCCGATGATATGTATTATTGTTAAACAAGTCTAATTTTATTTATCATGTGATAGCTTCGCTGCAAGACTTGTCGATCTCTTGTTTCTGTATTTATATTTCCTTTCGTGAATTTGATTACTTTCTTAGAATTTAGCCATAGAAATCAATTGTTTTTAATCTGGTTTTTTTTTGTCTTTAGTTTTATTGATTGTTATAAACCAGTGCTATTCTTCATAGTCGTTTTAGTTATTAAAGTATTGTTCCTGAGATGAAAAAAATAAATATATTTATTAATTTAAATTTTGTATTGTGAAATAGAATAATTTGCAGCTCATTTGTTTTACAAAAAGCTAATAATAAATGAATTGTAAATAATAGAAGCACATTTGTATGTTTTATTTTAGTTTATTTATTAATAAAAAAATATAGAAAAACCAGTTTTATTTTATTTTAAAAACCACTTCACTATATTTTTCCTTTCCAACTTTACTAAGACAAGTAACTAAGTTTTCATATTATCTAAATTATTTATTCTGTTTCATTAGCTGTGTGTCAACCCTGAGGTCAGAAGACCCTCCTGGAGCACAGCACATCCAGAGTGGGTATCCTTAATTAAATAATTTATTAAGCAGAAGAACCTGGTGGTTGAGCTTGATCTCAGTCAAATCACCTCCTTGCATAACCACAACCATTAACCAAGAAACAGTACCTTCCTATATAGTGCTGAACCCAAGACCCTTTATGAGTTGTAGTGGCAAAGGTTTTTTTTATTATTATTTCCATTCTTTATTCTCGCTTTGCGGGATAAGTTTCTGAGGTGGGAGACCAGAAGTCCAGCCACTTCAGATTAATATCTATTACTTTTTAGATATTTAAAAACTTTCGAACAATACGTGCCGTATCCAAGAGAACTGAGTGTTGAGCCTCTTTCAGCACTTCAAGAGGTAATTTTAATCCCATCGTGCCTGACACTGTTGTCTTTGGTATCAATCCATTGGAGGATATTATAATTGGAGTGGTGGTGACGTTCCCCAAATGATATAATTCCTTCAGTTCGATTGCCAGTTCCTGGTATTTTCTCAGTTTTTCTCCAACAGTGGAGCTTATATTATTATCATTGGGGATCCCGACATCAATAAGCTCTGCTCTTTTCTCTCTCATGTCTATCAGAAGGATGTCTGGTTTATTGTGACGCACAGTATGGTCAGTTATAATCGATTTATCCCAGTAGAGCTTGAGACTACCTTTTTGGAGGAGTTTATTTGGGTGGTACTTATAATATGGAGTTTTTTCATCTAACAAGTTGAACTTCACAGCCAGAGCCTGATGAAAAATTCTAGCCACATTGTTATGCCTCTGGAGATACTCAGTGCCAGCCAACACTCCACACCCACCTGTGACATGTTGGTTATTATTATTATTATTTAATGACATAAAGACAGAACAAATACATCAACTAAGGTTGTAGCTGCTTACTGAAATATAATTTTCTAGTTACTTACCAATCCCTCCTAAAACAATGAAATTACTGAGACTGGTTCGAAGCATTCCTTGTGAAATACATTAGGTGTTGAAATACACACAGCAGGTGTTGGGAAGTAAGGCAGAAACAAATGGACTCTATGGAATCCTTCGAATCCCTGAAACAAGTATCACACCATCATCATCATAAAACATCTTGAGGGTAGAAACATGATAGTGACGTATGGTTTGGCCAAAGTTGCACTCAAGGTGTTTGAGAAGAAGCCGCAGAGACCGCAAAGCTGGGAACTGATTCTTTAAAAGTTTCCCAGGTAGAGGGATCTTTTGCTTCCACTAGTGGAAATATGGTAGAGTCTGAGCCAGCTCGTCTTATCTCCGGTGGGTGTGGACCTGAGAAACATGAATTACGGATGTGGCCCCTCGGACCCCGGCGGAGGATGGCCCTCCTGCAGCTGGCTCTCTTTAATGATGGTTAAGCTGTTGCAGGTGAATTTCTATCACTGTGTGGCAGTTTGTGGGGTGCCTCAGCAGTATGCTAGAGGTAAGGATATTGATATCGTATTATATTAAATAGTTATATAGTATATTAAATCGTACTGATTTAAGAACCTTACCTGTTCGAGAGCAGGACTAGGGGATTGGGCATGGTTGGATATAGCAGTATTGCAGTGCCTGAGTATCTGAGAACCTGTATCCTGTTCAAGAATAGAATTAACCAGATATTCTCTTTGAGATAAATAATGGAAAAAACAAAAAAAATTCAACAAGATTGTATGAATCCTTTTCATTGATTCTTATGATACCATTATCAGGAAAGAGCTCTACCTGGCAATGGAAGAGATGGGAAATCCACCGAAGCTAATTCGACTTTTATCGTGTACTTTAAATGAGAGTGCGAGTCGAGTGAAAATAAATGAGAAGCTGGGCCAACCTTTCGCAGTGAAGTCAGGAGTTATACTGGGTGATCCCCTATCCCCACTTCTATTTAACATCGCCCTCCAAGTTGTGGTGAATAGAGCAGAGCTTAGTCAGTCAGGCACCATTTTTAGTAAATAACTCAAGCATTGGATATGCTGATGATATGGTACTGATTAGACTGTCCCTCAAGGCGATCAAGGAGCCCTGTGAAAGGATCCAAAGAGAAGCTGGAAGAATGGGGCTATCCATAAATGAAGAAAAAACAAAAATTATGGTGCTCAGGAAGAAAACACCTATCAATCCGCCTAAGTATTATGTAGTGGGACAATATACATTTCAATGTGTGTCCAGTTTTAAGTACCTCAGCTCCATCATTAATGATCAGGTGGACGAAGAAGAAGAAATTCAAAATTGAGTAATAAGGACTAACAAAGCATATTTCGCCTTAAGAAGTTTCCTCCGAAGTTGGGGTACGAAAAACAATTATATACAAAACAATCATCCGACCTGTACTGACCTATGCCAGTGCAACCTGGACCCTACGCAAAAGCCTGGCTGAATAGATTGACAGTTTTGAAAGAAAAGTGTTGAGGGGCATCATTTGGGGGACTTCCTGATTGTTAAATTGAATGCGGTGGGGTTTTATTTGATTTAGGGGGAGACACGCTGACGATATTGCTGTACTGATGGGCAAATTTCCAGTTACTATCTCTGGACTGCTCGAAAATACTATGACACTTCTGAAAGAATGGTGCCAGGAAAATGGCTTTAGCATAAACCCGCAGAAGATAAATCTCTGTATCTTTACTAATAGAAGGAATATTAACATTAGACCACTATCATTAAATATTTGTAGTGAGGTACAACATCTTGGGATTACTTTAGATAGTAAGTTAAACTGGCTAAATCATATTGAAAAGATTAGTGGTAAGGCTATATGCTGTTTATAACCAGCATGGCCTTATGGCTATACAGTACTGTGATTAGACCATTAATCCTCTAGGCAACTGTAGTGTGGTGGCATTTGGTAACTGCAAGCAAGCCAATGCTGCTTGGCAAGCTTCAAAGGATTGTATGCCTTATGATGATGGGAGCTATGAGCACTACTCCCACTATTGCAATGGAGGTTCTTTTGAATCTGACAACATTGCATTTAGAGGTGGAAGCTCTCAGAACTGTCTATAGACTGGATAAACTGGGAATGAGATCGTTTTTGATGGAATTGATAGCAATGAGGTACTTGCGATGAACTCGGATCTTCAAGTCAATAATTATAAAAATATACTATATAATTTTAACATAGGCAGGAATAACTCACACAGACCATGATATGAAGTTAATTGTTATACCGACGGCTCCTTAATGGAGCAGGAATCAGGGGCTGGCATCTGGAGAAAGGATAAACCTAATGAGGATATATTCATATCTCCGGGTAGATATATGTCCATCTTTCAAGCTGAGATTTTAGCTATCGATTTCTGTGCTTAATCACTTATTAAGGAAGGCATTGTGAATAGATTGACAATAATATATATGGATAGTCAAGTGGCGATTGTGGCCCTGAATAGTTATGCAAGTCTCTCGAAGTTGGTGGATGAATGTAAAGGTAATCTTAACCTTCTTTGTATTACTAACAAGGTGAGGGTAGAATGGGTACCTGGGCAACAGACTAGGAAACAAACTCATAAGTTATCCTTAGTAGGGCCCTGTCTTAAGAAAAATAATTCACTTTTTCTAATAGACAGGAGTACCATGAGGCCTATCACATTATTTGTAGATGTGATAATTTGGCTAGACTGCGATATTTTCACTTTACATGTGATCGTATCACTGACCCTGAGCACTGTGAACTGATTGACCCTATTAGTATTAACAGGTTCGCAAAGGCATCTGGCCTCTTGTAATTGAGTCTAGGACGATGCACAACAGGCCTTCTTGAGGCTGAGGTACACCCTTGTCGGGGAAAAAAAAAGCTATGCGTTGGAATTTTTCCAATTATAACCAACATTGAATTTCCTGTCTCTTGGTGAGCTTTTAACTCATTTGTATTTGAATCTACTATTAACTGTTTTCTCAAATCATTTTCTTTATTTACTGTTTACGTTGGTTGTCATACAACAACTCTGAGATAATTAAGTACTAATTTTAGCAAATAAATTATTATATAAGATAATGACAGTGGACTGATGGAAAACTGTAGTTATTAATTGAAGAGAAGTTGGTTAGAGTGTTCATTAAAAATAGAAAGTAAAAATAAATAAATTATGTTTATTTTTACTTTATATTTTGACTGAAAACCCCAATTAACTTCTCTTCTAATATATAAGGTAATGAGATCTTAATTTCTTTTCTCTAAAAGTAATGACAAGTTAATCACTCATTGAAAATTATGCAAGATTAATATCATTAATAAATGAATTTTTTCAACAGTTATTTCTATTAGTAATCAATTTTATCTAATAATTCAGCTATCTTAATATCAAAGCCAGGGATCCTACAACTAAGGAAAATCAGGATTAAAATAATAATAAATAACAATCAATAGCATAATTTAAATTAAATCATTTCATTTAAAATGTATATTAAAAATTAAATTACAAGCTCAGAAGAGCTAATAAACACATTTTATTCACATTTCCTTTAAAAAAATGTAAAGGATAACATAATTACATTCTGTTTTTATGATACAGTAAAGAGACTCAGCTGAATGGAAAAACAAAACAAACATAAATAAAAAAATTTAAATAAATGAAAATATTAAAACCTTTAAAAATTTTACCATCCTGAGCATTTAAAGAAAAATATAACTATCATACAATGGACAAGTAAGTATGTGAATGTCAATTTACACAAAATTAATTTTAAGCAGTGATTTAGAATTAAAATTGTAGGGATCAAATGTTTATGTTGCTAAACAAAAGTTAAATAAGTACACATTTCTTGAAAAGATCGGCTTCTTTTTTTTTTTTTAATGAATGATTACATGATTTTCCTAATTACAAAGTTCACAGTATGAATCTAGAAAAGCTTTTATGTTAATTTTTGGGAGAAAGAAAAATGTTGAAAGGTATTTTAAAATATCACACATACAAAGAAAATTAATTCTTTGCACCAATTTTAAATTTTAACTTTCTTCTTATGTACAAGGGAAGATAAAAATGTTCTATATGTTCAAATCAGGTACCACATTCTCATACACACAAGCTAGCACTGAAGCAGTCTATCTAAAAGAAGTAGGTGTCACGCAGTACATTCAACCATCCAAACAAGAAAGAGATAGATTTGAATTTCAAAATCTAATGTACAGAAATAATATTAATGCTAGCTTCTATAAATAAAAGACATATTGGTTTAAGAATTAAATAAAACCAAATCATCTAATAAAAGAAAAATTACAAATGAATCATATTATTAGTTTAAATTAAAATATATATATATACATATTCATGATGAACAGTTCAGGAAGGACTAAGTAGTTTCTTCAATATCAACATCGACTTCAGGCCCAGGATTGGGACTACTTTCAATTTTTTGTTCATCAATCACTGATTCCTCTTCAGCATCATTTTCTTTGTCCGAAACTCCATTTAAGTTATCCTTTTCAACTGCTTCTTCAATATCCATTCTTTCAACTGGTGCCTCAGAATTTTCATCCCTTACTTCCCCTTCCTCTTCCTCCTCCTCTTCTTCCTCTTCATCTCCTCGTGTTTCTTCTTCATCGTGAATATCTTCTCTACCATCTTTCTTGGTAGCGGCATGATCAGCAATAGCTTTTTCAACTTCAGCTCGTTTTTCTTCAATCATTTCTACAACAATAATAAGGATTATTTATATAATAAATATATGATGGAAGCTAAAACATAGATAAATAATAAAAGGGTTAAAGTATTTAAGCAGCATAGTTTAAAAAATTATTGAATATACGGGTATATAAGTTAGTTTCAAAGGGGTATAGACATTAGAAACATGGAATCTTGTATCCTAAGGTTTGAATTGCAGGAGACTGTAGATGCAAGAAGGATTCTGCGAGTTAATAGTTTGGTAAACGAAAGATCCAAGGAAATATTTTCCCCTTTCCCTTGACTTCAAAGACAGGATTTTACTGGTACTAAATCACATCAAACGTAACATGCTAAAACATTTCTATAAAGTTTTAATCACCAACACGTGTCATTTTGTTGAACTGTAAACAATATTTTTTTTTTTTTTTTCAATGTATATACTATGTACATCCTGGAAACTTCACTTTTCTGTTTCCATTAAAGAAAAAAGCACCTGAAGGTTATTGATTGCTGTGTAAATCGTATCTACCATTTTTTTTATTAATGACTGCTGATTTACTGGATTCAAAATACACAAAGAATTAAGGAACATAAAGACAGGCCATAAACAATTGAAAACCCTGAATTAGAAAATTCTTCAGGAGTGACTCAACAAGCAATGTCGTTAAATTTCAAAACCATGAGAATTGTTCAAAATGAACACGCTTGTTTCGTGACTAATTTCATTTCACGTTTTATCAGTTTTATTTTTAACATACATTTATCTCTGTTTATTCTTTTAATTTGAAATAATAAACAAAAATACAAAAATGTTTTTAACTACATTCTAAATAAAATATAACTTTCATATGGTTAGCTACAAACAATTTTGAAAGGAGACCCTCTCTACTCAAAACTTATCCATAATGATTAATTTTAGAGCTAACAGCATTTCTACAAAAGTAGTAATAAAATATAAAAATGTTTATATATACATAGATGTATACTCACAAAGATACCAATTTATTAAAAATAAGTATCGAGATTTGTATTCTTCCAAGTTAGCGATGTCATAAAAAAATAATAAATCAACAAAAAAAAATATTGGAAATTAATGAAAGTTATAGTGCATCTGAGTTAAGTTTGAGTGTAGGGGAAGAAAGCTTGCACAGCTTTCCCCCACCCAAGTTCGCACCCCACACCATGAAGCAAGGTCTACTGTTCACAGAAATTCAATGTTATTACTAGGATCTATTGATCTAAACTTACCAAGAAATAGATCATAAAAAAATCAAGAAATAGATGGAAACTATAGAACAGAAAAGAATCTGATACTACATTATCGGATACCCAATAATGGGGAGGAGCCTTTTTTATTTACTTAGGAATGTAAACAAAGAGAATGTCATATTTATATGTATTATTTTAGACTGTACTGTATTACCTCGAATGAAATGAATCACAGTATGTAAAGAGCTAATCTTTCTGTGAATCAATGTAGCAAATAGGAAAAGAAATGATCAAAGAAATTTCTACTTGTAAACAAAAGTTTAGAAGTGTGTATGAATAAGTAGATAAGACAAAAGAGAGGTGGATAGGCAGGAAAATGGTTTGTCAGTGCACATCTCTCTCCCCCTCTACCCATCCTCAAACTTATCAAGTCTACTTAAAGCACCTTACAGGGAGCCAACCTTTAATGGCTCATAAGAAAAACTTCATTAAATGAATTACATAATTTCAATTTATCAAAATCATGGTTTATTAATGTTTAAGAAAAAGCAAAAGGCAAGCAACCTGTAAACCAATGGCAGATAGTGGTCTTTCTCTATTTTTCTGAACATAAGAAAACATAAAAGATTACTTACGTTGAATGTGTTTTTTACTTTCTTCTAGAAGTTCCTTGCTTTTTTCATTATGGATTTTCGGAAGAAAAAATATTTTTGGGGAGGATTTAGTTTGAATAAAGTTGAGCAGGTGTTTCTTCGTTGATTCCCACTCAGTTAGCTGAAAATAAGGAAATTTTAATCTTAAATGAATACCAGCGGTAATTTTATTTTAAATATAAAACTAATATTTTAGTAAAGAAAATACAATTTTATTGCATAAAACTGTTAACAAATATTTAATTCAAAAATATTGTCTATCGTTAGTTGCACATTTTTCTCATCTCTCTGGCAATTGATGAAAAACAACTGTTGCTCTTTTGTGCTGAACCACTCACCAAGCCATTTCCATAAGAAGAGATGAGCTACTAAGCAGATGTATGCACTATCAATACATATAAACCTGGATTCGTCGTCAGAAAAAGAGGGAATGAACTGATTCTGGGCATAATTGTATAACTACACTATCTTCAGTTGTTTCCAATGTAGTATCTTCTGGTGAAAGGAAAGGAAACATTCAATGATCAGTTGGACAGGACTCTGGACAGCTGCTCAAGGAGTGATATTAATATTTATCGTGGGAGATTTGAAAGCAAAAATATGCAAGAAGAATTTTTTGGACCAACCACAGGAAAATATAGCCTCCATGATGAGACAAATGAAAATGGTCGAATGCTCATAATCTTTACAGCGTCAAAGGACTTAATTGAGGGAAGCACACTATTCCTAGGAAATATAAAAAGGAAGGAAATAGATAGTCCGGGGTGGCAGTCATAAATAGGCTAAGTAGTTGCAAAACTATTTAGCCTATTTATGACCGCCACCCCGGACCATCTCCTTCCTTTATAATGCAACGGTAAACTGTTAAATATCCAATATAAACAAAAAGGATTAGTACCTCTTTTTCGACTTCTAGAGTGTATATGATAGCATTAAAAGGCCTAAGTTTAAGAGAACTTGGAATTCCTTTGAAACTGGTTTGGTTGATCAAAATGACCAGAGATGGTACAAGATGTAGCAGGTTGATGGCCTAACCTAACTTTTATTTGAAGAAGGTTGTGCGTGATTAGGGCATATAGACATTTTCAACTGGCTCATCCAAATAATCAGCTTTGCTGATGACCTGGATATAGTCGCAATGTCCTTTAAGTCTTTAAAAGCTTTTCTCAAGTTGGTGGAGGATATGGAGATGTGTGTAAACCAGAAGAGAACTGAGTACATGAGAGCTAGGCCTGGACCAGAGACAGCTGATATGTAGTCCATGCTGATGGGCCGATTTATGTTCCAGAATGACAACCGATTTATGTACCTGAGATCAGCATTCAGTTGTGGAAACAGAATCTCCAGGAAAACTAATCAACGACTCATTAAAGCCAATAGGTACTACATTGGTCGCAGAAAGTACCTAATAAATCCCAAGATCTTCTGTTGTACTAAGTGCCTCTCACATGAGACTTTTATCAACATGGATATTTAACATGAATCAAACTTGGATCCTCGTTAGGCATGGACAAGGGAAATTTTTATATTTGAAAGAAAGATCCTTCAACGAATATTTGGGCCAGGAAGATTCAGAGAGGACTGGAAATGGAGCATGAATAAGGAAATTTACCAACTTTATGCTGAGACTGACATAATAAGGTGTATTAGGTTGGGGTAGTTACATCACTAAAAACAAGAACTATTACTTGAAGTCGGTGAACAACTAATTGTGACCTCCTCTAGTTAATGTAAGGCTGTAATTCAAATATAAAGAACTAGGATAAGAGCCATTTCTCCTCAAATATGGACTTAGCATGTTTTTGATCTTCTTGGTTCAATTAAAAAGTAAAAGAAAAATTGACAGGATTAACAGATCACAATTTAAACAACTTGCATTAAATTAATTAGTAAAAATTATTAATAGGATGATAATATTAAAATACCTGCTTCAGTCTCACAAGTTTATATTCAAGTTGTCTGATCTCAATTTGTTGCTGCCTTCTAGAAGAAAATAATTCTTGCCTTTTTTTCTTCAGCTCTTCTTTTTCTCTAAGAGCTGCTTCTTCCAATTTTTTTTCAACTTGAGCGCGCTTATCTTCCTGAGAAAAAAAAAAATCTTTAGGCGTAATAATAATAATTACAGTGAATCAATAATTTTTATGAATTACTGAAAACTTTTTGATAAAAAAAATGCAGCTGTCAAAATTGAAAATTTATTTTCTATTCTATTAGCTATGGATCGACACAAGGTTCAGAGGGCCCAATGTATAATGGAGATTTCATCTATCTACTATCAGTTGCCAATGGGTGTGGGCTAACTAATGTAGCCTTCCTTCACTATAGTTTCTAAAATACATTAAGTATCTTGTATACATGTTCTTCTCTTCATAAATATATATGTTCTTCTCTTGCAGACCCTAGTACTGATGGACGTGTCTGGCGGATTCCCAAAAATCTGGAAATCAAAGGTTTAATCACGAGAATTGGAGGGGAGACTGAGGTAAAATAGCCCTGGAGCTAGGGCCCAAAAGTCGACCTGATCGCAGGCGAAGGGTTGATTGTAAATTACAAAAGTGTATGCTATTTTAAATAAAAAGAACTTTGTCTGCCATTCCAGAGCCTCTGCTTTAAAAAATGTTGGTTGATTTAAAGAATAATAGGCCAATAATTTGAGGATCGAAACAGGAAATCCATTGTGAAAGAAAAATGTGAGAAATGTTTTCATTTTTTTAACTTGTATTTTTTTAACTTGGTTTAAGACATGTAAAAAACAAAATTGCTAACGCAGGCCACCAAGAGAAAACTTTTTACAGCTAAAGACAGATTTTTTCCGATATTTTTTGTTTTTTTCATCTATAACTCCTAAATGATGCATCTAAGTGAAAAATGTATTCTTCAATAAATTGAAGAATGTTAAATTTTGCATCAAACGAGTACATAAACTTTATAATTTATGTACGCTATGGTATAAAACCACGGTCAACCAACGCTGATTTTTACCAAATTTGTCAAAAACTGAGACAAATTTACTATAAATGGCTCTGTAACTTGGAAATGAGTTCCCTAAGAGGAAAAACCCATAGAATCCAAGTTGTAGAGCATCAAATTTTGTGTCAACTAAGTACCAACTAATTTAATGTAGGTCACTTACTGCGAATAAAATCGGTAATCTCCCGACGGTTAGAAATTGGTAATGAACATTTTTATTGGTACAATAAAAATGTCAGTACTCAGTTGACTCAAAATTTTAATGCTCTACAACTTGGATTCTATGGGTTTGTCGTCCTCTTTGGGAACTCATTGCCAAGTTATAGGGCCATTTATAGTAATTTGTCTAAGTTTTTGACAAATTTGACAAATCAGCATTAGTTGACCGTGGTATTATAACCAACCACGTAACCAAATTATAAAGTTTATGTACTCATTTCACACAAAATTTAATGTTCCTTAATTTATAAACAATACATTTTTTGCTTTGATGCATCGTTTAGAGGTTATGGGGGAAAAAAACAAATAATCTCAAAAAAATCTGTCTTTTTTGGCTGTAAAAAGTTTTCCGTTGTTAGACTGAGTTAGCAATTTTGTTTTTTACATGCCTAAATTCATATATACAAGTTAAAAAAATGAAAACTTTTCTCATATTTTTCGCAATGGATTTCCCGTTTCGATCCTCAAATTATTGGCCTAATATTCTTTAAATCAGCCATCATTTTTTAAAGCAGCGGCTCTGGAACGGCAGACAAGGTTCTTTTTACTCAGAATAACATACACTTTCGTAATTTACAATTAAACCTTCGACTGCGATTAGGTCGATTTTTGGACCCTGGCTCCAGGGCTAAAAGTAGTGGGGAGACTAACCATACTAGTAGATAGGTTAGTTTACCTAGGCCTCACAACCATTTTAATTCCTGATTTTCATTAGAAGGAAATAGGTTTTCATATCCCTGTGTTTATATTTTTATAAACCATGTTCAACTAATTTTTTTTTTAAATAATCAAGTGGGCAATAAATTTATTCTCAGAAAAAAATTAATATTTAACTGTTGTGTTTATTAGTACAGTTCTTTTTTCATTTTTCTCAACAAATTTATTTTTTTCGCAATTATTTTTTTTTTAATGTTTGTAAGTAGTGTACTTATATTTTTCTAACTTTTGTCAAAACGATTTTCAGGCACTAGGAAGTACTTATTGTATTTCCCTTTTTCTCTTGATGTCCAATACTTTAAAGGATAATGGCTAAATGAGCCTTTTGAAAGAAACACAGTATTATAAATGGAACAATGTACCAGATCCACACTATCTGTTCAGTATGATTGAATATGTAAGGGTCATTATGATGGATGCAATCTTTGCTTCCATGAATTATGCCAGTCATGAATTATCGTATAGGGTCCACTATACCATAACACTCCCACATCTAGACTGCATTGAATAAACACAAACTGTGGCTGTGCATCCATCTCCTGTTTTCGGATGACTATTCGATGCCTACGTTTGCTATAAATACAGAAACGAGACTCATCTGTAAACATACCAGCATTCCAATTTCTATCCTCATCTGGGTACTCGCTGTACGATGATCTGCAGAGTTGCTGTAGGTCGTCTTAAAGGAGCTTAAGATGTTAGAGTAACTTTCCCCAAAACAATTATGAATGGTTTGTGTTGGTATGGGCATCGGCAAAACATTAGACACTTCATTTAGGCTCTGTCGGGCAATTTGAAAAGGATTGCTTCTTACAGTAATAACAATATTACAGTTTCTCTGAATCTGACTAAGGTCAGAGAGACTACAATCTGGGAGAGACCAACTGTATCAGTGATTCCACTTTCCGGTTTGTTTGACTGCTCATTCTCACAATACTATTGTGAACTTCTAGTTCAATATGATGTCGTTATGTTAAATAAAATATTACTGAATTAAAATTGAGTAAAGTGGAATACAACTGTTGGTTTACACAATGAGTATTCTTATGTTGACTACACTTGGTTAACAATTTATGCCTTGGATGTCCTCTGTGCTGGGAGGATGAGATGTACGACCGACACCTCCCATATGTGTTCAGATGTTATTGGTAAAAATCTTCCTAATAAGACAGGCACAGCTACTAACACTGGAGCATCTCATTGGAGGATTTCATAATGAAAAAATAATATTAAGCTGCCAGGAGCTGAATGGCCTAATATCCTACAGCACAGGCGTTAAACTAACATAAAAAAGTTAATATAAGAATCCCTAAAACATAAATAGGGTGTTTTTATTAAAATGAATCAAACAGAAATATCCCTATTCATTTTTGACCAGCTTACATAAATTTAAAATAATTCTTAATAGGATGGATTTAATTAGTCAGACTTTTTTATTTTCTTCCTTCATTCTCTCGGAATGCGAATTTTAGTACATTCAGCCCTTTTTATAAACCAGTTAATTAAGTGACAGCCATAAGAAACACTCGATAACTTCAATATAAGAAAAAAAATCTAGTGTGGTCTGCGCATCACACAAATTTCACTTATCACCCTACTTTAAGGTAAAATAGGTCTTTTCATCATTTGATGTTTTAGGCTCAAAACATCTAAATCATTAGCGCCCATAATAAAGTTATACTACTATTAAAATATTTATCTGGTAGTAACTGGAAGTAAAAATCATAGATGGTACAACATATTACTTAAAACAATTAATTACCATATGTTTTTCTTGCCTAACATATTAAATTTATGCATTTTTTGTCACTAATCATTTCCTTTAACAACTGTAATTTTAATTATTCATTTAATTACAATAAATAATTAATTGCCACGAATTATTTTTATTTCACCAAGAATGCCAGTAAGGAGGTCAGATATTCATTTATATTTCCTTGTGAGTACATTTCTGGTTTCAACACTGTTATATATAAAAATTTTGATTTTTATATTTCTGTAATCTACACAATTAAATGATACCAGCACAAGCATTTATGAAAACCATAAATTTATAAGTAAATAATATTATCAGGACCCGCTCGTTCACTAAGCTTGAGGGCATGCTCGGGTTTCTTCGGCAGTACTCGGCTCCTCATTATCACCCTATTATTCCGAGAGAGCGCGAGTCTATTAATATTTAACCATTTTTATTCATTATCTGCAATGTGAAATAGTTAATTTTATTAAAACAAATCAAATTAAAGGTACTTTAGAAGAAAAATTCTGAAAATTCGACATTTATGAATTTTCCCTGTTGGAGATGGAGATCAATGAGGATAAAATCTACCCTATATTAAAAACACTCAATTGTACATAAGCATAATGAATTTAATCAAATTGTTAAGAGCAATTATTGAGAAAATTGTAAATATGTGTTAAATCGATGATATTAAGTGCCACTTCTGATTATAAAAAAAAAGGTGTTGCAACATCTCAGGCAAATATAAACCTTAAATAAGCAATTATAGTTTCCTACGAGTTTTCATTCATGAGCTAGACTATTCACACACGCACGCATACAAACACAGACCATTTTGCGAGACTTGGTTATTAAGACTCAGGAGACCTCAAAATGTGTATTTCCATTTAAAACTCAAATTCAAAAATTTTCATGATCGCAATATATTCCCTTTCTATATATTTCATATACAGGTATGTGAAAGTAAAAATACTGAAAGAGTACTACACTTTGCAATGCTCAAAGAATTAAAAATAATTTATAATAGATAAAGAATATTTACTTTTTCCTTTAACCTATTTTCTTCTTGCCGAAATTTCTGTAATGTTCCTAATAAAGCTCCAAACATTCTACGATTCCTGTAATAAAAAAAATAAATTCAAGATAACTAATATTAATAAAATATACATATAACACACAGAAATATTGTTATATTTTATAAGTCACAAAGCCACAAAGTGCACTTGTGATAGAACTAAACTTGTTTTAATCTTTTTTGTTGATGAAAAACAAAGTGCATTAAAATACAACAAGAACATTGGCTTTTTGAAAAATAATTTGTTGCAAGGAACACAACGATATGCAACTGATAAGAATGTGAGAGAGGGGGATGGTGTTGCACAGTAGAGGTCAGGCCCACAGACTAATGGGGTGACCGCATGGTACTGAAAACACTTAAAATATTACAAAAATATAAGATATGTACATTAAACATTGTTTTCTCAAAAAATATTTGTCTACTTTATGTAGAATTTAATTATCTTGAACAGTTTTTGAGCAATTTTTTCTTATTCAATAAAAACCGCGACTACCTTAAGAAAAACACAAAATTGGTTCAAACTCCTTTTCCGTTCGAAATCAGCTCATGTATCAAATGAAATTTTTTTGTAGGAAATTTTGTCTAGAATCACCTCCAAAAGGTTGGCCATTAAGGACTGCGACACCCTGTATAATATATATATATATATATATATATATATATATATATATATATATATATATATATAATATATATATATATATATATATATATATATATATATATATATATAATATATATATATATATATATATAATATATATATATATATATATATATATATATATATATATATATATATATATAATATATATATATATATATATATACATATGTATATTATGCTATTTATATTAATGACCTTCCCCTCCTGACCCATCACTCCCAATACCATATCTATGCACATGATTTCCAAATATATCTGTCCTACCCGCCCTTCGACCTAATATCAGCCATAGAGAAACTTCAAGAAGACTTGGATAGGATTTGTGACTGGGTGAGAGCCAACAAGTTGAAGTTGAATGCAGAAAAGATGAAGGCAATCTTAATAGGCTCCAATCACCTCCTCAAAACAGTTCCTAATATTCCAACTCTGTTTCTACATGATAACCCCATCAAATTTTATCCCTCCACCAAAAACCTTGAAACGATCTTTGATAAATGTTTTCCTGGAAGAATCAGATATCCCACATCTCCCGCCGTACCATTTCCACCTTAAAATGTCTAAATCACTCCTGTCCTTTCTCCTTGAAACCCGTAGGCTCCTAATAACTTCCTTAATTTTCCCCCACTTTAACTGTTGCTGTACAGTATATGGGTACATCTCTGGGAATCTCGAGGCAAAATTAAAACGTTTGATAAATTGTTTTGTACAATTCATCTTCAAGATCCCAAGGGACACCTATGTTTCCAGTTTTTATGCAGACTTGAAATGGCTTTATCCTTTCCTACCGTCGTAAGTATTTCCTGGCATCCTTCCTCTTTCAAGTCATCCAATCCCACCGCCCTTCATACATCTCGGAGCTTCTTCAATTTAAATTCTCTGTTCGTTCGGGGTCTTCTGATTAATACATAAAAGCCCACCGAACCGCTGCTTTTGACAGATCGTTCATTATCCGATCCTCATCCTGATGAAACTCCATCCCTCCCCACATCCGTCAATCCAATACCCTCAAATTCTTTTAAAAGTTATATTCAAGATTTTTTCGTAACTATGAATAATGTGAGATGATTAATTTTTTTAAATAAACAATATTAAAGGTACTTTAGAGGAAGAGGTATATGAACATTGGGCATTTAATCCCTGTAAAGTCATGAATCTTTTGAAAAAATCAAGTTTTTTTGCAAATACGGACAGATAATGTTTATTTACCAAAAATAATTTAGATTATGAAACAAAATGAATTGATCCACTCATATTTTTTTGCATAAAATAATAGCTATAAATTTTAAGCATTATTTTCATTGGTTTGTTACCTGGCTTTACTCTGGTTATCTCCATTTTGTGCAGCCAAAACTTCTTTTCTACTTGGAGCATCTTGCACTATAACTTGTGAAGTAATCTATATACAAAAAAAAAATTATTTATATGACATATATTTATCACAAATACAACTTTTAATTAACAGAACATATGATATACAACCGAATCTACATTAAGAAGAAAGATAATTATATAGTTCAGTGAATTGGATCTAAAATGTTTTGGGCTTAACAGGAATAATAAAGAATTCAATCATATAGTGAAGTCAAAAGTATAAAAAAATAAAAAATAAATGAAAATGATGATGGGAAACCCACAACTAATGTAAAATAAGATAAACAAGTAATACTAATAATTCCTTTTGAACACAGCTGGCACGCATTCAAACACTCAAATATTTGAGAGGTTGAGGTCGTGATGGCTGAACGTGTTAAAGCATAAACTTTAGGATTCTATATATAGTGATACCGGTCCAAATACAGCTTGGGTAGGTTTTTCTAGGTTATATTCCTGTTGGTGAAGATTTTGATTCATTTGACAATATGATTCTGATGAGAATTCTGTATCATTTAATAACAGGCGTACAAACTAGCAGATAAAATTAATAGCTAGTTGGCTACATTTACAGATAAAAATTATATTGATGTAGTGAATCAATTCAATGTAGGCATCATTGTTTTGAGGATTTCCTTTAGAAATGTTGAAAATGTTTTTCTCTAATAATTGATGACATAATAATATAATAACTCCAAAACCAACATTATTACGTATATTTTATTACTTCCACCTAACCTGGTTAATCAATAAAACAAAATAAATAATAACAAGAAATTACCTTAACAGATTCTTTTTCTTCAAAGTCATCATCCTTAGGAGGCCCAGAAAGCCTGAAAATAATTAAAATATACAAATATTAGATGAAAAATATGTTTGCTAAGCTGAGGTATGAATCTTTGAATCAATAGTTTTTTATTTAAATCTTACCTGCTAAATACTGTGACAGCTGGTTGTTCTCCCAACCTTTTTTTGGCTGGAACTCTTTCTTCGGTCTTTTCTACTTTTCGTAACCTGAGTAGAAAATATGTGATATAAATAAATATAAAAGAACACAAGTCTCATGTATCTAAATAACTATGTTTCAAGTTCATAGCAATTCAAAAGATTGCTCTAAAGACATGGTTAATAAATAATCGAAGAAATTTATTAGAGGTTGACCGAGATAGACATTTTAGCTAATATCTATATTTTAAAGTTCAATATACTGATATAAAGGACATTTCGCCTTTATGTCAAGGTTCAAACATTTTGCTTAGAATATTCTCCTTACTACAGAATAAACATGTAAATCAATTTCCTAGGGATCAATAATAAAAATTAAAGATGATACCGAGATATAGATCAGCTTTGATATATTGGTAATATATTACATTCAATTTTATAAAACTACAATAAATACACTGTCCAACTTAATTAATTCACTATTTTGCGCATTAACTAAGTCTATTGATATAGGAAGAAAAATATATATATATATTAGTCTATCAGTTTTGAAATTGGCCAATACCCATATCGGTATCTGTCAGTCCCTTGATTTTATTATAATTAAGCAATGCTATTATCCGTTTTGTACCTTAATTAAAGTTAAAATTCATTGATAAATACTAAAAAATATAGTCACGAACTAAAGTGGACTAAGAATCAATTATTTCTTATTCTAAATATTCAATAGTAACCTTGGAGTATCTGTGGCTGATAACCTTCGGTTGATTCTTCCTCTAAAATCATGTTCTCGGCTTCTTGGTTCTTCTGTACTCCTAATAAAATCTCCAAGTCGACTCTTAACACTTTCATTTTGAAATCTTTGACGTGCAGGTGTTTCTGCAGCACTATCTAAATGGCGTGCAGCTCTCTTGAAACCAGCCCTGGAAAACAACAGTTAAGATAAAAAACGAAAATACTATGTACACAATTAAATCAATTTACTAAATATATATTTTTATACTTTTAGGTTAGGACTTCACATTATTATAATAATCGAAACACTCATTTTGATCACAACAGTCCTACTTAATCTTTATTTTTGCACTAACATTTCAGCCCTTAGGCCATTATCAATTTATTAATTTAAACTGGGTCTACCCTATCATATGCTTATTTGCAAATATGCATAATTCTATTAATCTTTTAAGCTAAATAAAAGTATTAATTAAGGCTAAATTAATAGTATAATACTTTAAACCGGAAAATTCTACAATTCAAAGAAATAACATAAATCTATAGCATAATAAAATCTTTATACATTATTTCTAAAAGGTGTTTTTTTTTTTTTGTCTGCATGTCATATCTTCATCAATTCCAATGATTGACCACTCATTTTGAAGATCTTCTTCCTTCCCGTGCGAAAAATAGTTCCTAAAAAAATCCCCTCGAAATTTCTGGAAAAAGCTTATGAAGGAAAAGAAACTTAATTTGCGAATAACTCAAAAAGTATAATTTTTTTTCTGGATTGTTCTCATGATTATTAGAAAGATTACTAAATTTCCTACAAAACAATAAAAACAAAACATGGAAATTGATTAGAAATTTGTAAGTTTGAAACAATTTGTACCAACCAAAGGAGCAAAGTGTGTCCAAATATATTTAATTATATATTAGTTAAGGGGAAACAGAGTTGAGACCTGTATTTCCCACCTCGAAAAACTCTCAAATACAAATTTTCATAGCAATCGAAAAACAAAAATTTCTTTCTACAAATAGGAGCCAAGGTTCTTCTTAGATTTATTTTGGAAATCACAAAAAGTGTGATAACTTTAACATGCTTCCACCTATCCACACAAAAGGGCCTTATACACTACAAAATATGACATAAACCGAACCCTCCTAAATAGTTTAGAACTGAAGTTATAAAATAAAAATCTGTTAAGAGTTAAGAGAATGGTCTCTGGTCTAGTTACAAGGACTGTTAAAGAGACACTGGTGACACCAGATGTCTACACCATGATTACTGATAACATCCTACAAAACACTGTCCCGAGATGCATGGAGGTTTTTTTATCAGGCTATGGATTACCTGAAGATGGAAGATAAAGAGCTTACCGCTGTTTCGGCGGCCTTGTTGAGGGCCAAGAAGGAGAAGGAACAAAAAGATCAGAGAAGGCAGACAACGAGCAGAGGTAGAGAAGAGAGTGAGAAAGGACTAGCGAAGAACACGGCAATAACAGCTTACATGCCAGCCCCCATGCAGCTCAGGAGCAAAGGAATCGGATGAGGAAACCTGCTCCCTGAGGAAGGAAGTACAGGTTGTAAGGAAGGGAGATGAAGACCGGAAAGTGGAAAATAGTGAAGGTCCAGCAGAAGGGATCGTAGTCCTTCATAAAGAGAGAAAGAAGGCTGCGAAGGAAGGAGAAGAACAAAGAGGCCAAAGCTAGAGATAAAAGGAGCCCCCAAGGATTGGGATGAAAGTACCCTACAGACATGGGCAGAATAGGCACAGTGCTGGAAGAGTTGAGAAAGATGGCTCGGCACTGTGACATAGTGGCAGTACAGGAGCCGTGGTGCCAGAGAAATGTGGTTGCCGGATTCAGTAGCTCATCGAGGGTTGTGGCAATGGGCATTGGAGAGAGGAGGACCAGACGTAATGGAGCTGATGTAGGACATGACATCAGACCAGGCGGCATGTTATGTTAGATGGAGCGATGTTCTGGTGTCCACATACATGTCGCCTAAACAGAATATTGAGGACCACGTTACAGTCTAACAAACTGTTGCACTCCAGTACCAGAATGTAATAGTCTACCCCAACACAAATTCGTGCAGCACAGCCTGGAGTTCAGTTAGAACAGACGCAAGGGGCATGACAGTCGAGGACTGGACGGCCAGATGCCAGCTTGCCATCATGAACGATCCTTCTGCACCCATCTTTGTGGATTTACAAGGGCACATACGTATGTCTGTCCATTTAAAGTTGTACAACTAGCTGATTAATCGAGGCATGTCCTGTAATGAGTTGGTAAGTGCTAAAGTCGGCAGCGATTAGCTTTGTTTTATGGTATACTCTTATGTTTAGTATAAATAATTTTAAAATATGTCCTTAACAGGTCAAGTACCATTTTTGCGATTAAATAATATCTTATTTGTTTAATATGTATTTTAAGTGTGATTTAAATAATATTGAGGGAGAATTGATCAGAAGCTTGTTATGCTGCTTCCTCAGCTAGTTTATTGCCTAATACTAGAGGTGGGCGATAGTCGATAGTTCGTATCCTCCTCTTAGGCACAAATTATTGTAAAATTATATATACTTAAAGAAATGATTTTAATAACATGTACCTTCATTCTACTACCCACTTATCGATATACGAGGTATAATGATAATATAATAATGTAAAAGTTAAATGTTTGATAGTGGAAAACAGTTACTGTATAATGGAAACGCCAAATTAAGAAAATAAATGAATAGAAGTGTGAAGACGTCTGTTTAAAACTACTGTTATCAATATATAAGACTAAAACTAAATTAAACGAGAAGAAGCCTTCAATGTTAAAAATAATTCTATCTCAAATTACTTCCTTAGAAATATTTTTACAACTCCAGTTGTGCCAATGGATAAAAATGTTAATTTTTTCTATTTTCTCATCTATTTTTTTTTTTTTTTTTTAATAAAAACATATAATTATAAAATCTACTAGGATGTCACTACAATTATATTATATTTTAAACTTGGCCCTATTGTCAAATAAAATTTAGAAAATTAGAATCTTAGAATTAGAAGCCACTACTAGATGTTATTTCTGAACAAAAAAAGTGATTATGAATAAATGAATTATTAAGAGGCTATAGAGGTTGTCTTAAGTCTGTACAGGTATGCAGGATAATATTTCATATAACCAATTCTTCAAACAAGGGATAACATAAGGAGGTTATGCTGTAAAGATAAGGCTATTCTGAAAAACAGCTAAGTTTCTGATAAAATGTACTCAATATTAATGAACATTAAAACCTCTATTGATGAGAAAAATTTAAGAAATGAGACTAAAATGATTTACTGAAAATAATTGGACCTAACAGATGTAATAGTATAGGAACTAGTACCTAAACAAGATTGATATAATGTTGTTTAAAGACTCAGATACAAATAAAGATTTAACAAAAATAACAATTTATGACAGCTTCACCACGAAAATTAGAGACAGGAAAATAAATAAGAAAAACAATGCATGAGAATTAATACAATTCAATTTAATCCTAATATGAAAACAAAATAAGATTAGCAGACATTCAAATTAGGTTAACAAATTTGAATAGTAAAAGGAGAAACAACTTGGTTTAATAAGCAACAGTTAAATCCCTAGTGCATAATTCACATTAAATGGAATAAGTTTGATACAACTGAAAAAATAACATAACAAGCTACTAAACATTACATCTGGCAAATCAGTCTATGAATTCTTCAATGACTCCCATAAATTCATGGAACTAAAACAAAATTAGCTATACATTAAGTACAAAAACTTTGTCAGTAAGATTTATGGAATAAGCTTTCTTGTGACTAACCAAGGGAGTCCAAATCCACAATCAATAATTTGTCTTAAAAGGCTAATGAAATAAAATTTATTTTAAAAAACTTACCTCAATATTGGAGGACCACTATTTATATCTCTTCCAATACTCTTCTTTATATTATCTTCAACACCTTTTAACCTCTCCCTTGCTTTCTCTAATTCATTTTGTATAGTAAGTATGGACGTTTGCATTTTATCAATTCACACACTTCTTCATGTATACTTTGATTTCGCTAACCGAACTTCTTAAACTAAAATATACATAATAATATCTTCTATCCACAGAAGAAAACTAAAAACAAACCGAACAACAAACCAAACACACTACTGATCTGACGGCCATTGTAAACTCAGTGTTGAAAAACGAACGATTGAAAGATACAAAAACTTATATTCATTGAAATCAAATACAATAACAAATAATTAAGATAAAATAAGGAGCTAATAAACTATAATTATTATAATATACCATTATTAAATACACTTTTAAAAGTTTAACGTAAATCAATATGAACCATGTTTTGAATAAGCAGATGGTATGGCAGCTAGAAGTACTGAAATCAAAGTTTAATTGATTGGTTACTTAAATTAAATTTCCTATTTTACTAAAACCGTGCTGTCGACCTTCATTCTATACAAAATCAATTTCCCTTAGTTTTATTATTGAAACCGGAGGACAGTGGATATTATTGGGTCATTGATTTTATTTATTAAGAATTCGAAAAAAAGTACTATACAATTATTTGTTTACTTTGAAATGGAATCATCCTAAAGTAAAATTTGTATCCACTGTTAGAATAATAAAGCAATGAAATAGCATTTTGTTTCAATTTTAAGTATTATCTAGAAGGATTTGAATTGCTTCATTGAATTGATTCATCTTTGGAGCCCGCAGGCGCTCCCACGTCTTCAGCTGATACGGCAAGTTGAAGTGGCTCTAGCAAGCTTTCAGACAGCAATATTTCCTAAGTGTTTTCCTTTTCCGAACCTTTACAACCAAATAACCTTCTTGCCTACTTGATCTGTTTACTCTTTGCTCTTCTGTCCATTCGTTCAACACGAGATCCTAGCCCACAAACTTGTTTATTTCTTCTGTTTGTTTTCTTTAATAAATCCTTTTCTAGGCGTGATACCTTGTTTTGGAATTCTCTACCTATTTCCGTGTGCAAATCCTCATCCTTCACCTCATTTAAACACCATTTATTTTCCCTGCTCCTCAACAATCAATCTTCCGGATATATGTAAGAATATATTTTTTTTTTTTTAGAGCTGTCATGTCATTTTATTGCTATCTTACAGATACCTATATATTATCTATTGTTTCTATGTGAACACACTGTTATACATCTACACTTGTAATTCAAATGTTAACTTGTGCCTTTATTATAATTTTAAGACTCGATAGCAACGTAATTTAATTAACAACAAGAAGATGATTAAGGATAGACTAAAGAAGCATTTTAGAAGGAGCTGAAGAACTCCGGAATAAGACATCCTGCAGATGTTTCGAAAGAGGAAATAGCCTCATCAGAAAAATAGAAAGTATGCGCCAAATCTATTGCGCGCTCCAACAGCGGAATAGGTTTGTCGGTAGAAATGGGTTCCAGGATGGCGTTCCATTCGGCAATCCTAAAAGTACAGCTGGCTAGAGATATAAGAAAGAAGCATGGACTCCGTAGGCAGAAGATTTTTTTAGAATGCATCCAGGATATGATAGACGCAAATGCCCGAGATGAGGAAGCTCGAGGTGAAGACGACAACGAGAATGGGTGGAATAGGATGACGTATAAGAATTGGTAGGGTCAGAGCTAGGCCGGAGATGTGGAAGAAAAGAGGAGGGGAGTTTGGTGCAAGAGAGAAGAAGGCAACGAGAGAGAATAGACTAGGTAAAAAAGAAGGATGTGGACGAAAGACGAAAGGAGATGCCATGGATGTAGAAAAGTATCTGTTAGCAAATTGTCCGCGAACCAGATGTTTTGAATGTGGAAATGAAGATACATCGCGAGACAATGCCCATCTATATGAGTATGAGAGGAGCCCCGCCTGAGTCAGGTGACGCATCGGGGATGTCTGGAACGGAAGAAGACGAAACGATAATGAGGGAAGAGAGAACCATGGGGGGGAGGGGCTCGAGGCAGAATCAGCGGGAGGAGCGGAGAAAGAGGAGAGGAAAAGAGGAAGAAAGAGAAGAGTGGCAGAGGTTCTGTAATAAATAATATAGAAGGTGAGTGTGTTGGTTTGCCAATTATAAGTGTAGTGGGGAGAGTGAAGTGTTTGGTGGATAGGGGGGTTCAAATACAATAAATTGAGGAAAAATAAATTGAAAAAGCTATGTAAGGGAGGGAGGATACCAGAAATATACGTATGCAAATGTAAATTAATCACCTTGGGTGGGCCTTGTAGCCTAGAAGGGGAAGCGGAATTAGATTTTGATGGATGGATGACTTAAATAGAGCGAAATATTGCGAGTTCGTATAGTGGAGAATATGCCAAGGAATTACGGAGGCATAATAGGCTGTGACTTACCAATGTAAGTAGGAACGAGAATATATAGTAAAGGTAGGCGTTGGAATATCCAAATCCGAAGGATGAGGTATCGGTGTAAGAAATTTGAGGTAGAAGGCAAAGTGAGTGTAGGAGTAATTGAACAGTCGGAGCACTGGGTACAGAGAATAAATAGGGAATAAGTGGAAATTTTTTTTAAAAGGAGAGGTTTTGAGTGCAACAGGACGGTGCATGATATCCCGATGAAACAAAAGAAGGTAACATATGTAAAGGAACAACGGTACCCAAAGGGTCTGAGGCGACACATATCACGGAAGATTTAGAGAGTTTAAAAAAACAGAGCATCATCGTTGACAGTACTTCGCCGTAAGTCCCTTATGGATAGTAAGGAAAACAATCTGCAGATGGGGAGGAAAAATATAGAGTAGCAGTGGACTACAGGAAACTTAACAAGGACACTCTCGACGAGAAGTTCTATCCCGCGATGCGAGAATATCCTCGACAGGTTAAGTTAGATTTGAAGGCAGGATGCCATCAAATAAGAATGCACCCTAGAGACCAGCACAACACGGCGTTCTTATTTAAGAGAGTTTACTCCAATGCCGTTTGATTGTGTGAATGCCCTATGAAATATTGAAAATGCCCCGATAACCTTCCAGAGATTTATGTACGAATTCTTGAGAGGGGTGGACGAGGCATTCTGTCAGGTGAATATGAATGACCTCAGGGGTGCACTTTCTTGTAAAGCGACAGAACTACAGTCCTTTCTTATCAATTTCTAATACATTTGTTGGCTATGTACGCGCAAAGCAGTTCGGTTTACTTCGTCCAGACCAGCTGACTTGCCAATTGCTTCGAACTACATACTATATATTCATTTAGCCATATAATGGATATTGATCCTTGTTTTCTTTTCCGAGATTTTTTCACTTCCTTTCTCGTTCGCTTAATGTATTTTTCCAATTTTTGGGTTCTCTTTCGCGTTTTGAGACCAAATACTAACAATCAGTACCGGTTACCTAGAAGAACTTATAGCTTCGTCTTTTACATCTTTCTTTGTGCAAAGGAAATAATTCATTTATTATTAAAATTTCCTATTTTTTATGGCATGATCCAACTTCCGAACAAAATAAGAGAAATAAAAATTATTTTTTTTATCAGCGACAAATGAGTTTTACTTAACAACCCGGCAACTATTCTTTATATGTAGTTCAGATTAGGTATAGATTATTTTAGTTTATAAAACAGGCATTAATATGACTCATTTCTGGGGACGTATGTACAATTTATATTACCTCTAAGACTCAGTAAATATACAAAACAAAGTGTTGAATCGCAAACGTTAAATCAAAAATTCAAGATATTCAGCAAAGTATTTATGAATTAAGTTTTATTATTATAATTATATCAGTTTTAAAATAGAGTTCTTCTTAAACGACATGCGTATAGAATAAAACCTGTACCACTACAACCCATGAAGGGTCTAGGGTTCAGTATGTAGGGTATGTATGGAAAGCACTGTTTCTAGGTCAACGGTTGTGCAAGGAGGTGATTTGACCGAGATCACCCGTATAGAATAAAGGAAGTTAAAATTTAAAAAAAATGTAATAAATTAAAAAAAAATGTTCAATTTTTTTGACAATTAAATTATTGCATTGATATTTTTTCGTTAATACAATCAATATAATGTGCCGAAAACATTATTATAGCACAATAAATAAGCCATTTATGAATACTGAATGGTGTGGTAGAGACCTGATAGCACCTACGCCAGTACCGCTTTTCTACTGCTTAAGTGCATTTTCTACGGAACTGCTTCAAATATTTTAAAAAATAATCAGTGTTTCGGAAAGAGAAATATACTCTCCAGAGGTTTTATTTCTGCAAGTTTTGCGTTATTGTAGGTCATTTAATTACAAAGGATGCTTGATTTTCAATTTGAAAATTTTGTGGTTAAACAAATTGACTTTATTGGTGTTTTTCATAGCCTAAGTCAATTATTTTTTAATATTTTTTCCTCTGACTATCCAGCTTTAATATAATACTAACTATGACGAAATTAAGCCAAATGCTGATTCTCAGTGACCAATAAACTAACTAAAGTCAAAAGTCGCCATGCTTAGACGCCATTTCGGGACAGTTCGTTCACTTTTTTTTGTGAGAAAATTTGTTTTTTAAATATAAATAGTTACAAGGAACACAACGATATGCAATTTATAGAGACGTGGGAGGAGGGGGAGGGTGCACGATAGGGGTCTGGCCCACAGTGTATAACGTGTTGTCGCTTAAAACACGCGTAAAACACACACATTTTACAACTTTGTCCGATCTCCCCGTTCAAGCTGTCGTTCGATTTAACTTCCCGAGCCTAACAAATGTTGTTGTGTGCATTTTTAGGATTAACCAAACGGATTAGCTAGAAATCGAAAAAAAAATCATCCCACCAGCTACAATATTCAGATCAAGTTCTAATTTTACACGGATGTAATTGACTCAATGTCCAATGTTATTTAGTTATTTTGCCAGCGATAAACTCAGCAATGGCTAATAGTAGAAATTTTTGCAGGTACTTCTCTGTTAGCGGGTAGAGTCGAAACCTTCCTTCTTATCTAATCTCGTTTCAGATAACCATCTCGTTTCAGATAACCTCCCTTATCGACCCAATCTCGTTTCTCAAGTTATTGTGTTCTTTAGTTTTTCTTGTTCTTTAGTTTAGTTGTTCTTTAGTATTCTTTAAGTTATTGTGTTGTTTAGTATTATATTGTGTTCTTTTGTTAATATTGTGTTGTTTTGTTTCAACTGGAATTATGGATGTTGTCACATTGTGGGAATTGCCGTCTTCGGAAGAAGAGGCTATCAAATATTTTCAAGACGCCGGGATATTTGATAAGGTGAAATATTGTGATTATTGTGATGGTCGTAAAATGAAGTTCGACGGGAAGATTAAATGGAGATGCTCTCGTAGGTGTAACAAAACCGTTTCTATAAGGAAAGGAACGTGGTTAGAGGGGTCCAGGATTTCTTTTTTGACGGCTTTAAAATTCATTTATGGGTGGTCCCATAATTTAACTACAATTCAGTGGGGGAAAGAGCAGCTCAAACTATCCACCCAAACTGTCGTAGCATGGAACAAATTTTTAAGAGAAGTTTGTGCCCATGACATGTTATACAGGTCGAATAAAAAAATTGGAGGGCCTGGCAAAGTCGTCGAAGTAGACGAGAGTCTTTTTTCGAAAAGAAAAAATCATATGGGGAGAGTCTTACCTCAGCAGTGGATGTTTGGCGGAGTTTGCCGAGAAACAGACGAGTGTTTTATAGTTAAAATAAAGGATAGGAGAGCAGGGACTTTATTAGAAGCTATAAAAAACAATGTAGAAGAGGGAAGCACGATTTATTCCGACTGTTGGAAAGGATACAACACAAAACAACTGAATGAAGCAAACTACGACCATTTTCAGGTCAATCACACATATAATTTTGTTG